ATGGGTTATATGCTAAGGCGGAGAAATGTTGCTTCGAGCAATCTAGCATCACGTTTCTAGGCCTGATTATCTCCACTGCGGGGGTCGCGATGGACCCCCAGAAGGTCTCTGCAATTTTAGATTGGCCTGAACCCACGGACAAAAAAGGTGTCCAACGGTTTATAGGGTTCGCAAACTTTTATCGGAAGTTCATCAAGAACTTCACGGGTCTGGTCTCCCCCATTACTCAACTAACCAAACTTGGAACCCGGTTCAAATGGACACCGGAGGCTCAAAAAGCTTTCGAAGCTCTGAAAAAGCTATTTACCTCGGCACCCATCCTGGGCCACCCGGACGCGGCCCTGCCCTACATCTTGGAGGTAGATGCATCGGAGAATGCGGTAGGATCCATCCTGTCTCAGAGGAAAGGCACCAAAGAGTTACTCCATCCCGTAGCATTCTTCTCGAGGAAACTCACCTCAGCGGAGAAGAATTACGATATCGGTGATCGAGATCTGCTGGCTATCAAAGCAGCGCTAGAGGAATGGAGGTACCTGCTGGAAGGTGCCTCACACCCCATATTGATTTTCACAGACCACAAGAATCTGGAATATCTGAGGACTGCCAAGCGTCTACGCCCACGGCAGGCAAGATGGGCCCTGTTCTTTTCCAGATTTAATTTTCACATTACTTACAGGCCCGGATCTAAAAATACGAAGCCCGACGCGCTATCTCGTATGTATGAGGACTCCGAAGAAGAACTGGTACCCGACACTATCTTGTCTTCAGGGAACTTCTTGGCGCTCCAGACGGACCTTCGCTCCAAGTTAATAGAAGCATCTACGGCCACACCAACCCCAGTTGGGGTATCCCTCCAGAACAAGGGGGGACTCCTGTGGAAGGAAGATTCAATCGTGGTACCTGAGGAAGTCCGGACCCTGGTTTTGGGGCATTGCCAAGATCACCCGCTGGCAGGTCACTTTGGCCCAGTCAAGACTCTGGAGCTTCTCCGGCGCTCGTTTTGGTGGCCAAACATGGCTAAGGATTGCAAGCGCTACGTGAGATCCTGTACCATCTGCCAGAAGAGCAAACCATCGAGGAGCAAAGCCTGGGGGCTGTTGCGACCTTTGCCGATTTCCGAACGGCCTTGGCAGAAGATCGCGATGGACTTCATAGTCGAGCTCCCACACGTCGCAAGACCACACAGCAATTCTGGTGGTCATTGATCGCCTATCCAAAATGGCTCACTTCGTGCCACTAAGGAAGATTCCGTCAGCAGCCGAGACGGCGCGAATATTTATCCGGGAGATCGTTAGACTTCATGGAGTACCTGAGGACATCGTCTCTGATCGAGGGGTCCAGTTTACATCTAAGTTTTGGAGGGCTCTGTGCAAGGCCCTGGACATCAAGTTGTCCCTCTCCTCCGCGTTCCATCCACCCTAAGACCAACGGTCAGACCGAGAGGACGAACCAGACCCTGGAGCAATACTTGCGTTGCTACACGTCTTTCCTGCAGGATGATTGGTTGTCACTCTTACCCCTGGCGGAGTGCACTTATAACAACGCAAGCCATTCGGCAACGGGGCAGTCCGCATTCTTTTCGAATTATGGGTTTCACCCTGTCTTTCTCCCTGATTTGGTCTCTGAATGCCCAGTTCCAGCAACGCAGGATGTGTTGACCTTCTTCTCCGCCAATAACAAATTACTCCAGGAAGCCATCGCTCGGGCCCAAGAGGACAATAAGAAGGAGTTTAACAAGAAACGAAGAGGGGATTTGGCGTTGCGGCCTGGGCAGAAGGTGTGGTTGGCCACAACCAACTTAAAGATGCTTTGTCCCTCGAAAAAATTGGGACCTAATTTGTGGGGCCTTTTCATGTAAAGCGAATGGTCAACGAAGTGGCATATGAGCTATCCTTCCGGACACGTTCAGAATTCATCCAGTCTTCCATGTATCCCTGCTGAAGCCAGTGATCCCAGATGCCTTCCCAGAACGAGAATCCAGACCCCCAGAGGCCATAACGGTCGAAGGACAAGAGGAATTTGAGGTGGAAACGATCCTTAAGTGCCGAAGAAGGGGGGGCCAGACCCAATTCCTAATTAAGTGGAAGGGCTATGGTCCTGAGGACAATTCCTGGGAACCGGCTCATAATGTCCACGCACCTAGACTAGTCCGGGAGTTTCTTCGTGATCACCCGTGGTGGAGAGATCGGGTGGGCATCCGGAGATTGCCCGTAGGGGGGGGGCAATGTCGGAGATTGCCGCGCCGCTGTGCTCGGCGCAGGCGCAGTACACCTCCCTGTACGCGGGCGCCGGGACTTGGCCGACCGCGGCAATCAGGTTCGCTCATGCGCAGTAGTGACCCACGGGCGCGCGCCTGGCACCAATGACAGCGCAGGGCAGGATATTTAAAACGGCCCTGAGCTGTCATTCAGTGCCTTTTGGTCTCCTTGTATCCTGTGAACCTGTGAACCTGTTGTAGTAAGTTGCTGACCCGGATTGTGCCCTGACCTTGCTGTTTTCTCCTGTTCTTGACCCTTGCTTGCCTGACCTCTCTCCTGAATGCCCCCTATTGGATCTGACCTGCTGTTGCTGACCTGGCATGTGACCCGACTATTCTTTGCCCGCTGCTCTGTACCGCACCGTCCCCATAGTTACCGACCCGGCTTGTATGACCTTGCACTTGCTCAGCCATCCATCCCATCCGTCCCTCTCAACGGGGTCTCCAGACCTCCTCATACCTGGCTCTCTCCGTGGGAGCCCCTGGCGAATACCCCTACCACTGACGGGTGTCCTCAGTAGTCACGACCTGGTCCTGGGGTACTCCAAGTCCATCCCCACCATCAGGGGCCCTGGTGAACAAGTACTCTGGGGCTTAGACTCCGTGCGCTGGGAACATCCGATCAGTGGAGTGCTAGTGGTACCGCCGGGCGGTCCCTTACACAAAAAGTGCACTAAGGTGTGTCTTTGGTCCCTTCCCAAAGAGGAAGGACCCCTGCCTGACCCCCAGAGCACAAGACTCCTGACAGAGGCAAGGCATACTTGGGTCCATGTAGCCAAAAGACTCAGCAGACCTCACTCCTCATAATCAGCCGAGCCGACCCTTACCATTGAGTACCAGGTGGGGGGCACTGCCTAAGAGAGACCCCCCTCAATTCTCTATTTAGAATTATTGTCAGCTCTATACCCCCTCTAGACTACATATCATGTTCCCAGAGATGTCGCACCTCTGTTTTAGGGGCTGCCGCCTCTCTGTAACCCTTGTGCATGTATTTTGGGCTTGTCCTAGTCTCTCCTTGATCTGGAATAGAATCTCGGCTGTGACCTCTGCCTTGGTGGATACTCCAATACAAGGGCGGACTGACCATTTGGAAACTCGGCACTGCCCGAGGGCCCGGGGTCAGTAGGGGGCCCCATGAGATGCCCCTGGTACCTTTTTCATAGGTTTTTTTTTTGAGTTTGGGCAAGGACACAGGGGCCCCATGATCCCCTATTGCCGGGGGCCCCATGAGTTGTCAGTCCGCCCCTGCTCCAATAACTATGTCTTTGCAAATCTTTTTATTGTGCCCCTATTTCCGGGTGTTCCTGTCAACGAGATGAGGCTAATCCGTACGATTTATGTCTCATCCTTATGGGCCATTGCCCTTCATTGGAAGTCCCCGACGGTTCCTTTGGCCTCCGTCCTGCGGAGAGTTGACATGGTTATGCTCATTGAACGCATTCATTACTTACTGCTAGATAGGATGCACTTGTTCAACAAAAAATGGGATGGTTGGAAAACATTTATTCTCTGACTGATGGTCTATCATGGTTTGATGTGTTTTGAACCTTTGGAAACAGCTTGGTTGCATTGTGTTTCTTACTGACTGCCTTACTCCTGTACGTGTATTTATCTTTTATCTTTTTTTATGCTTCTATCTTATACTATTGTTACTTACCTATGTGCCTTGTTCTTGAGGTGTTTTGACCCTCAAGAGATTTTACTATTATTGTTGTCTATCTTTTAATAAAAATCGTTTGTAAACAAAAAAAGAATTATTGTCAGCTATATTTGGTCTAGGCATCTAGGCCTCAGAGACTTCTGAACCAAACAGGATTTCATCTAAAAGCTGGAAATATTAATTAGATATTATTTTTTTCTATGCTGGTTAGCTGAACCAAGTGCTAGAGAAATTTTGTACGGTCTATTGTTTATAATCGGATTTGACCAGCTGCCAGTTTTTAGTTGGTTGCATCACAAGAATGACTGGCCAACATTACAGCTCTGAATAAAATGTAATACAAATGTAATAATAGAGAGGTTGGGTGAAAGGCTCAGTGCAGCGTAACACCTTTTGTAATTAAAGTGGCACCTGTGCCCAGACTATGAACATTAAACCATTTACATATTTTTGAACAAACAGTTAAAGAGGTTTAAAATAAGCCCTCACTGACCTTTTTAGCTGTTTGTACTGTGAGATAATTCATCCTCAAAGACCCTCAAAAGATAACAATAAAGACTTCTGGATTCACGCCTATGCAATTTTTTCCTCCTGATGAGTTTGGCAATAAAAACAATAGAAACGCATTAAAACATATGTCAATGTGCATTTGTAACCACTTGACCTCCTGAGGATTTCCCGCCTTCCTGACCAGGCCATTTTTTGCGTTACGGCGCTGCGTTACTTTGACTGACAATTGCGCAGTCATGCAACGCTGCACCCAAAATTAAATTTATGTCCTCTTTTCCCACGAATCGAGCTTTCTTTCGGTGGTATTTGATCACCTGTGCGTTTTTTATTTTTTGCGCTATAAAAAAGACCAACAATTTTGAAAAAAAAACTATATTTTTGACTTTTTGCTATTAAACATGTCCAGTACAAAAATGTAAAAAAAATCTAATTTCATCATAAATTTAGGGCAAAATGTATTCTGCTCCATGTCTTTGCTAAAAAAACAATCCCAATACGTGTAAATTAATTGGTTTACGTGATAGTTATAGTGTTTACAAATGGCGGTATAGCTACTGGAATTTTTTCAGTGACTTATAGTGGGACTGCAGTGGGCATTATGACACTGGGGGGACCTGACTTGGTGTCACTGACATCCCCAGTGACACCAATACAGTGATCAGTGCTAAAAAAAAAAAAAAAGCACTGACACTATACTAATGGCACAGGGCAGGAAGGGGATAACATGTGGGGTGATCAAAGGGTTAACTGTGTGCTGTTGTACATTGGGCTGTGTCCAAGTGCTTCATTGTAACCACACTGCTTTGTATGGCTGTGCTGTGCACAGCCCTGCAAAGCAGTGTGCATGAGCTGACAGGGAGAAGAAATGTTTTGTTTACAAACAGTTTCTCCTCCCTATCGGAGATGCTCGGCAATCACCAGCGCCGGCGAGTAATCACTGGCTGGGACCCGGTCATTGACAGCCAAGACATTGAATGGCGCGACGGGCAGGGCGCGCATGCGCCCTCCTACCTTGAAATGCAAAATCATGTATATAGACGTGATTTTGCACACCCGTGCCACCCTGTAGCAGTATATCTGCTATAGGGCAGTCGGGAAGCAGATAATTATGTGCATAGACACATGTTGTTGTGTGTCATGATGTGTTTACATCTGTCATGACCAACGTGTGGCAAGATGCACATTGCGATGTGGTTTGATGTGTTTCCATTCATTTCAATGGAAAAACATATCAGTCAAAAATTCCTTTACCACAAAAATGGGTTTGCATTAGAGGGCAAAAATACTGCTCCCATAGCAAAAAAAACCCCTAAAATTTCAGTGCTTCTGTTGTGAAGTTTGAAGATTCATTTCTTCACAATGTCTTTAGATACAGAGGTGAATTAGGGCTTGCTTTAAAGTGCTTTTACTATTTGTTCGGAATATGTAAATATTTTAATTTATTTCGTATTTCTTTAGCCCTGGTACCCAATCTGTATCCCTTTAGTGTATGATGTACTGCCTTCTGACCTCAACAGTCTGTAGCATTGATCTCT